CTATATTGAATAGGAGTGGTGAGAGAGGGCATCCTTGTCTAGTGCCAGATTTCAAAGGCAATGCTTCCAGTTTTTGCCCATTCAGTATGATATTGGCTGTTGGTTTGTCGTAAATAGCTTTTATTATTTTGAGATATGTTCTGTCAATACCTGTTTATTGAGGGTTTTTAGCATAAAGGGCATAAAGGGCTGTTGAATTTTATTGAAGGCCTTCTCTGCATCAATTGAGATAATCATATGGTTTTTGTCTTTGGTTCTGTTTATGTGGTAAATTACGTTTTTAGACTTGCATATGTTGAACCAGCCTTGCATCCCCAGGATGAATCCTACTTGATCATGGTGGATAAGCTTTTAGATGTGCTGTTGCAATTGGCTTGCCAGTATTTTATTGAAGATTTTTGCATCTATGTTCATCACGGATATCGGCCTGAAGTTTTCTTTTCTTGTTGAGTCTCTGCCGGGTTTTGGTATCAGGATGATGTTGGTCTCATAAGATGATTTGTGAAGGATTCCCTCTTTTTGGATTATTTGGAATAGTTTTAGAAGGAATGGTACCAGCTCCTCTTTGTATGTCTGGTAGAATTTGGCTGTGAACCCGTCTGGACCTGGGCTTTTTTTGCATGGTAGGCTCTTAATTGCTGCCTGAACTTCAGACCTTGTTATTGGTCTATTCAGGGTTTCGACTTCTTCCTGGTAGGCTTGGGAGGAGGCAAGTGTCCAGTAATTTATCTGTTTCTTCCATGTTTACTAGTTTATGTGCATAGAGTTGTTTGTAATAATCTCTGATGATGATTTGATTTTCTGTGGAATCTGTGGTGATAGCCCCTTTATCGTTTTTTATTGCATCAATTTGGTTATTCTCTCTTTTCTTATTTATTAATCTGGGTAGTGGTCTATTTTGTTGATCTTTTCGAAAAACCAGCTCCTAGATTTATTGATTTTTTGAAGGGTTTTTTGTGTCTCTATCTCCTTCAGTTCTGCTCTGATCTTTGTTACTTCTTGTCTTCTGCTAGGTTTTGAGTTTTTTTGATCTTGCTCCTCTAGCTCTTTCAATTTTGATGATAGGGTATCGATTTTAGATCTCTCCTTGCTTCTCATGTGGGCGCTTATTGCTATATATTTTTCCTAGAGACTGCTTTAAATATATCCCAGAGATTCTGGTATGTTGGTCTTCATTCTCGTTGGTTGCGAAGAACATCTTTATTTCTGCCTTCATTTCATTGTTTATCCAGTCAACATTCAATAGCCAGTTGTTCAGTTTCCATGAAGCTGTGTGGTTCTGAGTTAGTTTTTGAATTCTGAGTTCTAACGTGATTACACTGTGGTCTGAGAGATTGTTTGTTATGATTTCCGTTCTTTTGCATTTGCTGAGGAGTGATTTACTTCCAATTATGTGGTCAGTTTTAGAGTAGGTGTGATGTGGTGCTGAGAAGAATGTATATTCTATGGATTTGGGGTGGAGAGTTCTGTAAATGTCTATTAGATTTGCTTGGTCCTGGTCTGAGTTCAAGTCCTGGATATCCTTGTTGATTTTCTGTCTGGTTGATCTGTCTAATATTGACAATGGGGTGTTAAAGTCTCCCACTATTATTGTGTGGGAATCTAAGTCTCTTTGTAAGTCATTAAGAACTTGCCTTATGTATCTGGGTGCTCCTGTATTGAGTGCGTATATATTTAGGATCATTAGCTCTTCTTGTTGCATTGATCCTTTTACCATTATGTAATGTCCTTCTTTGTCTCTTTTGATCTTTGTTGCTTTAAAGTCTATTTTATCAGAGATGAGAATTGCGACTCCTGCTTTTTTTGCTCTCCATTTGCTTGGCAAATCTTCTTCCAACCCTTTATTTTGAGCCTTTGTGTGTCCTTGCATGTGAGGTGGGTTTCCTGGATACAGCACACCAATGGATTTTGGCTTTTTATCCAATTTGCCAGTCTGTGTCTTTTGTTTGGGGCATTTAGTCCATTTACATTTAGGGTTAATATTGTTATGTGCGCATTTGATACCGCCATTTTGGTGCTAGCTGGCTGTTTTGCCCGTTAGTTAATACAGATTCTTCATTGTCTTGATGCTCTTTACCATTTGGTATGTTTTTGGAGTGGCTGGTACTGGTTGTTCCTTTCTATGTGTAGAGCCTCTTTCAGGATCTCTTGTAAAGCAGGCCTAGTGGTGATGAAATCTGAGTACTTGCTTGTTTGCAAAGGATTTTATTTTTCCTTCACTTATGAAGCTTAGTTTGGCTGGATATGAAATTCTGGGTTGAAAGTTCTTTTCTTTAAGGATGTTGAACATTGGCTCCCACTCTCTTCTGGCTTGTAGGGTTTCTTCTGAGAGATCTGCTGTGAGTCTGATAGGCTTCTCTTTATGGGTAACCTGACCTTTCTCTCTGGCTGCCCTCAGTATTTTCTCCTTCATTTCAACCCTGGTGAATCTGGCAATTATGTGCCTTGAGGTTGGTCTTCTTGAGGAATATCTTTGTGGTGTTCTGTGTATTACCTGGAGTTGAATATTGTCCTGCCTTGCTAGGTTGGGAAAGTTTTCCTGAATAATATCCTGAAGCGTGTTTTCCAGCTTGGATTGATTCTCTTCGTCACATTCAGGTACACCAATCAAGCATAGATTAGGTCTTTTCACATAGTCGCATATTTCTTGGAGACTTTGCTTGATCCTTTTTATCCTTTCTTCTCTAATCTTGTCTTCTCGTTTTATTTCATCAAGTTGGTCTTCGACTTCTGATATCTTTTCTTCTGCTTGATCGATTCGGCTGTTAAAACTTGTAGATAGTTCGCAAAGAAGTTCTCGTGTTGTGTTTCTCAGCTCCATTAATTCATTTATATTCCTCTCTAAATTGTGTATTCTTGTTAACATTCCATCAAACCTTTTTTCAAAGTTCTTAGTTTCTATGCATTGGGTTAGAACAAGTTCTTTTAATTCACAGAATTTTCTTATCATCCACCTTTTGAAGCCTGCTTCTGTTAATGGCACACACTCGTTCTCCATCAGGCCTTGTTCCATTGCTGATGAGGAACTGTGATCCCCTGTAGAGGGAGAGGCATTCTGATTTTGGGTATTCTCAGCCTTTTTAGGCTGTTTTCTTCCCTTCTTTATAGATTTATCCATCTGTGGTCTTTATAATTACTGTCTTTATAATTGGGTTTCTGAGTGGACATCCAACTTGTTGATTCCCAGCGCTAAAATCTGAGCAACCCACTGCGCCGGCCAAAACAGCAGCGTTATGATAGATGGTGCTTTTCTGACTCTGCACCAAGAACTGCCGCACGAAGGCAGCGGCAAAACCGCCTCGCCGGCCACAAGAGTCGCGTTGGCGACCTGTGGGGCTCCTTCGCTGGGAATCTCCTGGTGCGTGAGCAACAAAAATTTGTCTGAAAGTGTGGCGTCCTCTCGTTCTCTGTGCTTTCACTGGGAGCTACAATCCCGATCTTCTAGTGATCAGCCATCTTGGATCTCTCTCCGGTTTAGACTTACTCTTAAGTGAACATACTCAATTTTATTTGAAACAAGACTTAAAAGGTAAAATTTTGAGCCACGTTTTTAAAAAAAATCTAAATAGTATTCAGGAAGTATATTCAGACCGCTCCAAGAGTAATGAAACAGCTTTAATTTTAAATTTACTTGCCTAAGACCATCGTAAAGAGGTTTTTACTTTACCAGTCTAGGGAAGGCAACAGGATCCTTAGTGATAGTCCATTTTAATAACAATAAAATGTTTTATGATCTCAGAAAATGAAAAATCCTTATATAATAGTAATGTATTATTATAAAGTCAGATTGAATGTGTTTGTTGTATGAAGTCTCTAAAATACAGAAAGTACAATAGATACAAGACTATTCTTTTCAGAACATCCTGTATAATTCACAAAGGAAATACCAGTTCAAAATGAACAGAATAACACTTCATTGGGAATGTACTTTGAATAGACATAATAGTCACCTACTAAATTTTCTAAACTTGACGTGTTATGTTCAAAATAATAATACTTGTCAGACTGAAGTGTAACAGTATTTCTTAATGCCATAGCCTGTAAACATGTCAAGAGATAACCTTTTACCAGCACCTGCGTTGTACATTTTATGTTCACAGTGGAATCTGTTCTGTAAGACAATGCAGTGCAACATTGAAAACTTGCTATTTATCCCAGGCAAAATAAATATGGTCAATAAAGTTGTTCCTGTATCCATATCCCCATTTTCCAAAGTACAAAAAAATACCTTTTTATTAGAAATGAACTCTTTTACATCATTTAATCTCATACATTTTCACGAACTTTAGAAGTTACTTTATTTTTAAAGAAAACTTTTATGATCCACAGAGAGGAAATGAAAAAAATACAATGGGATTCTGGCCGGGCACAGTGGCTCATGCCTGAAATCCTAGCACTTTGGGAGGCCGAGGTGGGTGGATCACTTGAGGTCAGGGGTTCAAGACCAGCTTGGCCAACATGGCAAAACACCTTGTCTACTAAAAATATAAAAATTAGCCAGGCGTGGTGGCATGAGCCTGTAATCCCAGCTACTTGAAAGGCTGAGGCAGGAGTATCGCCTGAACCCAGAAGGCAGAGGCTGCAGTGAGCCAAGATGGCACCACTGCACTCCAGTCTGGGTAACAGCAAGACTCCATCTCAAAAAAAAAAATAATAAAGGGATTCTTCTTTGATCAAAACAAAAGCTTGCAGTTACTAGTATTAAAAGCAAACACTCAACAAAGTAAAAAGCCCAAACATGTATTTGTACTAACACCTGAATACACCTACACATTTAAAGGAGCATTTTATTTAGAATTATATTTTCCTATGGAAACTTGAGTAGTGCCAAGGGTATTTACATCTTTGACATCACCTTTACTGTTCACAGACTACTTAATTTTATAATATGTTTAATTGAAAGGTAAACTTACTTAACTGTAGAATGATCAGGTTGTTTTAATAGAGAGGAACTTTGGTTTGTTATTCTAATATTTAACAAAATACTCATCTCTTCACAGAATCTACCTGTTACTCGTATTTTGGACAATCTTATGGAGATGAAGTCAAACCCTGTGAGTACCATGTAACATTATATTTTGTGTAAATTCCTGAATGTGTTAAACTGACTAGTATGAAAGAGAATAAAATCAGATTGAGTTTCTTGTGAGCTTAATCACAGCAGAATACGTGAGGGAAAGGAAGAGGCCATGTTTTCAAGAAGCCTTTTTTAGCCATTATCACAGATTCTTGGAATTGGTTTTCTCAGCTGCTATACCCATTCTAGCCAGCTCTCATTCAAATGTAATGTAGATTATATCCTATATGTATAATTAAATGTAAAATATATCCTAAAGAACAAATTTCTGTAAATGAAAAAAGAACCAGTGAATATCAGTTGATATAGTATGAAGAGTACCAAACCAATTTAATTTTATAAAAGTTAAATTAGGCAAGAAGTGCACAGTAAAAATTTTAAGTGCATCTGTTTAGAGGGCACTAAATTTTGGGGGGCTGAAGAAGTAAATTGACAATGAAATTGTTGGATGAATAGACAAATGGGTCAGTATTGTTAGCATTGACTTAAAGAATGGGTTTCTAAGCTATCTGTTTGTAATTCAAGAAAGGAATGTAAAAATCATCACAATCTGTTTCATAAAACATCCCATCCTTTTACTGTCACAACCATAAGGTGGTTATTACCACAAGAATCTGGAATCAAAAACAGCATGACGGTACCCACATCAGAACCCTGGTTTGAGTTGGTCTAAATCCCTATAGACTTGGCAGTGAGGCTTAGGATTCCAATCCTGAGAAAGAGTACAAACATAATCTTCAGATGAGTGTGACCTTTTTTTTGTAATTGTCAAACATGACTGTAACAACATAAGAAGAAACTAACAAAAACAAGTTTTAAAATTCAGTGGTGTGAAAACAAAGATACAGTGTAATAAAACATCTCAAAAGGGCAATTAATATTATGAAAAGAATAGGAGAATTGTTTATAATGATAAGCTAAAAAGGATTAGATTCTTCCACCTGGGAATCAATACAGATAAAGTGGTATACAATGAAATAATGATAGACTTTATCACTACATCCTAGAATACATGAAAAAAGACTAAGAGAGGAATACATTTATGACTAATTATCTTAGAGAATACTGCTTCATAATAGGCAGTAAACTTCCAGGAGATATTATGCCAAGCAACTATAAAGATTAAAAATATAAGTAAATGCAAAAATTTAGACAGATACCAAATATACAGGGGGTTAAGAAATTTTGATATTGTCCAGGTGCAGTGGCTCACACCTGTAATCCCAGCACTTTGGGTGGCCAATGCTGGTGGATCACTTGAGCTCAGGAGTTTGAGACCAGCCTGGGCCACATAGTGAAACCCCATCTCTACAAAAAGTAGAAAATATTACCTGGGTATGGTGATGTGCACCTGTAGTCCCAGCTACTCAGAAGGCTGAAGTGGGAGGATCACTTGAGCTCAGGAGGTTGAGGCTGCAGTGAGCCAAGGTTGTGCCACCGCAGTCCAACCTAGGTGGCAGAATGAGACCCCGTCTCAAAAAAAGAAAACAGAATTTATGATATTTTGTTACCGTCCCTAATCTTGAATTTGAGATGAAAAATAATGACAATAATAATGATGATAGCTAACATTTATTGAGTACTTATCATGTGCCAGAAATCATTCAAAGCATTTTTCAGTGGCTCACGTGTGTAATCCTGGCACTTTGGGAGGCTGAAGCAGGCAGATCAGTTGAGGTCAGGAGTTCAAAATCAACCTGGCCAACATGGTGAAACCACCTCTCTACAAAAAATTAGGGGGGGGAATGGTGGCACACACCTGTAATCCCAACTCTCTAGAGGCTGAGGCAGGAGAGTTGCTTGAACCTGGGAGGCAGAGTTTGCAGTGAGCCAAGATCATGCCCACAGCACTCCAGCAGGGGTGACAGAATGAGACTCTGTCTCAAAAAAAAAAAAAAAGCATTTTTCACCTATTATCTCATTAGGACTTTCTGAGAAAAGTACTAGTATTATCATCATTTTCTTTTTATAGATGAGGACATTGTAGTGCAATGAAGTCAGGTTAACTTGCCCAAGGACACATAGCTAATAATGGCAGACCTGGGATTTTAACCAAAGGCCAAGTTATTTTTTTTTTTTTTTTTTTTAGTAGAGATGGCGTTTCACCATGTTGACCAGGATGGTCTCTTGATTAGGGCAAAAATCATTCCATTCATGGAATCACAGAACTATAGAGTTAAAGAAACTAAGTTATCTTAACAATGTAGGAGAGGCAACCAAGAAATGTTGTGACTTCCAAGTCACACTACTTTTAGTAACAGAATTGGAACCAGAAACCTACTACTGCTGTATTCCTGCCTGGTACTCATTCCAACATACATCCACATTTATCTGCCATAAACACACGGATGGCTACATTGTGGATCTTACTGGAATGTTTCTCTAAACCAAGAAAGTATATAGATGTTCACTTGACTTTCACTTTATAACTCAAGGCATGTTATTGCAGACAGATTCTTTTTACTTAATTAGGAAAAGTAACTTTTTCTGTTTTGAAAGCGTTTTTTATCTGCTAGATGAGGTGGCTGTCTGCATTCTCATCCTTCTCGTGTTCCCAGATGGACAAATTGATTTGGAGGCAATGAAGAGATTAGCAAAATGCTAAAGGGATTAGCAAAGTATACTAAGACCTGACAAATAATCTTGATTGTATCCATTTAAAATGCTGCAATCTAATTCTAGATGCATTTTTATCAGTTCATTTATTAAATGTTCTTTTATTTCTTAATTGAATAAATTAAAATTAAGGCTAGATATCAGATAGGTTATCTTGCCTTGTAAGTCTGACTGGTAGTGGTTTCTCGGAGCAAAGTATTGAAAGATCCTTGCACTATGTTTGGGTTTACTGAGAGTGCTATGACTGATTAACAGTGCCCACCATTGGGTATAGGACTAAATAGTGGCAACATGTGTAATGTATTTGTCATGAGCCAGGTTTTGGTAGGACTGTCAATGCTCCAGAAAAAGAATTCGTTTCTCTGGCATGGTAGTTAAGAACTTGGGCATTGAAACTAGACTGCCTTGGTTTAAACCCTATAGTTCCCATACTTACTAGTCATGTGACTAGTTATGTAACTTTTATAAAGTTAAATAACTTTTCCGTACACCAAACTGCCAATCTAAAAAAATGAGGGAAACAGTTACAACCTGATGGACCGTTATTGGGATTGAGTAACTTCATCTAAAGTGCTTAGAATAAAGGTTATCGCATACATAGTAAGTGCTCATTAAGTATTAGGGGTGGTGGTTGTACATTCCACAAAATTGATAGATTCATTAAAATAGGATACTCTAAGCCAAACTGTGACCTTCTAAAGAGAAATTCCACAGTCATGGTTAAGTTCTATTTTTTTTTTTTAATAGGAAACTGATGACTATAGATATTTTGATCCCAAAATGCTGCGGGGCAATGACAGGTAAGCAGCTTTTGTCTTCTTTAACTTATTGTGGATTTTTCCCCTCAATAATGGAAATAATTGATTTATTATAAAATAGTATTGCTTATTATTAAAAATCCATACTATTTGGAAAACCTGTAAGAAAACAGTATGTATAATCTCATTATCCAGAGATATCTCTAGTAATGATACTAAGCATTTACATATTTTTCCTTCCAAATATATACACACCCAAATCCATTTAGATGTCTACTGGTTTTTTTTATGAAATGGTGGAGATATTAGAAACTAATTGTGGGTGAGGGAAATTTGGATAACATCTGTTTTTAAATGAGTATTATTGAACCAATTGAAAAAATAGGGCTTTAGATTGGATACCAGTTGTTTGATTGTTTTTCATTTAACTGCTCCATAAAATTAAAGCCTCTGGGAACCATTGCTATATAACACCTTGTGGCAATGAAACATTCTATAAATTCTGCATTTTATCATAGACATTGGATAGTAAGATATTCTCATGGATATTAATTTTTATGATTAATGGTGGTATGAAAAATAGCCTACAAGATACAGAAAAAGAATAGGCAGGATTGGGGAGGAAATAATAACTGCCTGGAATGATTTGCCTGTCACACTGAAACTTAGTTGAAGCTAGTTTCTTGCCTGTGCCTTATGTTTGGGATCTTCAGGACTTTATATTTGCTCTATCTCAAGCTTTCATATCTTTGTAGATGGTATGAAAATAATCTAGTCACTAGATTAAATTGCTTGATAACTTGAAATGTTATCCTTTCCTGAATTTACCAGAAATGCCACCAAAATTGCCTAAGAACTGCTAATAGCAGCTACTGTTGGCAAGAGAGAATCTGACAAAGAACAGACTATGTGGAAAGGGGGATGAGGATTGACTACTAATGGGTACAGGGCTTCTCCTAGTGGTGACAAAAATGTTCTGAAATTAGACAGTGATGGTTGTAAAACTCTGTAAATAATATTAAAAACCACTGATTGTATATTTTACAACAGTGGATTAGCAACTTTCCTATATTGATGATTCTCCAGCTTACATTTTTTCCTTCCTTGCATTTAGCTACCAAGTAGATACACAGCCCTCGGTATGCATGGGTTCCTCATCCATGGATTCAGCCAACCAGGGTTCAAAATATTTCGGGGGAAAAACAGACGTGAACATGTACAGGCTTTTATTTTTTCTTGTGTTTATTCTCTAAGCAATACCTAATACAATGTAAACTATATAGTTTGTTATATTGTTTACATAGCATTTACACTGTATTAGGTATTACAAGTAATCTAGAGATTAAAATATATGGGAAGGTGTGTGTAGGTTACATGCAAACACTACACCATTTTACATAAGGTACTTGAGCCTCTGTGGACTTTGGTTCTACCGGGGGTTCTGGAACCCAAGGTAGAACTTCATGGAACTTCATGGATACCAAGGGAGACTATATTTGGCTTCTTGGTAATTTACTGAGAAATGTTTAATCCTAAATGCAGTTTATGCATGGTAATCAGAAGGAATATTAGCATTGATAAGACAGATAAGCTTAGAGTTTCATTTTTAACAGAGCCTTCTCCTGAGCTATCCCATCACAGTTAAATCTTGGTGATTAATAACTAGTAATACTGTTCTATTTCAGTCTTAACCCCCCTCATCCATGTCTTCTCTTAAAGGAACTTAAACACTGAAGAGGCATTTCAGTCAGGTGGACTCGTAGCTTCTTCTATGGAATATTCAGACAGGCCATAAAAATAAGGAAAAGATGACAGAACTGTGTAATCAGCCTCTGAACAATTAAGTAAAGTTGTAATCGCCCTCTTTTCTCAGTTGAGATTTTGAAAAATTACTTTTGGGGAAAATCTAAGTTTTCCATGTAAGTCATATTGTACAGCCTGTTTTAGCACGCAAAACAAATATAAGTCTAGACTCGCAAAAGCTTTGAAAAATGTCTTTATTATATATATTTTTAAAATACTTTGATGTCTAAGGGATCTTTATTAAGAAATAAGCTACAGCAAAATTCAGATCCGTCCTTCCATTCCTTCTTTGCTTCCTGTTATTCTTCCTATACATAATTTATAGTTTTTCCACAAATGTAGATACCCACAAACTAAATTTAATATTGAGTGTGGTAAAAATTTACCATATAAAATATATGCTTTATCCATACACCTTATACCCAGATTTCCACTCCTCCTCATGGGAGCTGCTGCTCAGTCATCTAGAATTTTATTTTAAAGTAATAGGTTGCCCCATTTCCTTTTAGACTCTGAGATATCTCCCTCTTCTAGCTTCTTTCTATCAATCTCAGTTCACCACTCAGCTCTGCAAAATTAAAGGACCCACTCCTCTAAGAAGGTAAAGGAGGTAGAACTGTGAATACCTATCTAATAGTGCATGTGTGTGTATTTCCCATACCTGTTTTATCCATAATAAAAGCCATGGGTGAAATTTTCAGTACGGTTTTTCTTTATTTCAGCTCAGTTCCCAGAAACAAAAATCCATTCCAAGAGGTAAGTTTCTTATAAAAATTCTCTGTCCTACAAAGGAAAGATGAAAGGTTACCAAGCAGTCTTGATGACTATCTTTGTCCAAAACATGGCTTTGTGATGATTAGTGTATGGTAATTTTGATAAATCCAGTTGTGTACACCCAAGATTCTTTTTAAAAAATTTAGTCTAGCAATTATATTTTTCTAATTTATAGAGCTGCTTATATTTATAATATTTTAAGCTTAAAAATAACTGATAATTCACAGGAAATGAAGTCTTTAGGATTGCAGTGAGAGTTTTACATGTGTGGAAACTTTCTGAAATTGGATTCCAAACATTTGTGACGATACCATGACTGTGTTTTCATTTGAAATACAAAGAAGTGTCTCAGTAAAAAAGAGAGTAAATAACATATTTTGGAAATTATATAAATGCTAGGTTTTCTAATTTTTCCTGCCTACAATAAATAACCCTAAATTCAAAAATGTCCTTTGGAGAAAGCCCTTTCGATTTGGTATTGCCTAATTGAAGAATACAGTTATTTTTCTCTAAATTGTTTCTGAAAAATCTCTTCTTCATACAGCTCAAAAGACATTAGAAATTTATAGACTTTTTCAAAAGAAATTTCTTAATTAAAATAGCATCAGGTGCTTAGAATATGACTTTTGGCTAGCATTTTTTAACCTTAATTTTAGGATAGGTCTCAGACTAAAAACTATGTTGCTTTTTTTTTTTTCTGTTTACATTTTAGGCCATTGTTTTTGTGGTGGGAGGAGGCAACTACATTGAATATCAAAATCTTGTTGACTACATAAAGGTACATTTTATTTAGCCTTTTTAGTCTGTTGTTAGATGGTTTTATAGGTAGAACACTAGCATCCTCTGATGGCTATCCTGATGCTTCTATAACTTATTTTCTAAAAGGTAGTTTTTAAATCATGCATATATGATTTTTAAATGTTCATTGTTTTCCTATTTCCAACACATTCATTTCTGGCCTTAAATTGTACTTAATCTAGAAAACAATGTATCTTATTGATATAATGCACTTTGCAGCCACCTGTCTTAATATAAATTCAAATGCTTAGAGACCTCAAGCAAGCTCTTCCAAAAAAAAAAAAACTCCCTGAGTGAAATGATTCACAAAACTCATTGATCTGAATAATATGCACTTTACTCCTATCCTGTTAACTTAAATCAGCAACATATGTCTAACAAACTTGAAGTGTCTGGTTTTTTTTTTCAGCAAACAGGAACTATAGAGTTAGCAAATGAAGGGGAGTGCAGGGAGTGGCAGACAGCTAAGCAAAAAGGAAGGAAGGGGTGTAATTTGAAGAGGAAAAACGCTATTAAAAATTTAGGGGCAACAGAATTTGCTGTTTTTAGAATGTCATTTTGTAATCTTTATTCACTTAATATTAAATAATGATCATTCTTTATGTCCTTATTTCATGTATTGCTTTAATAATGGTAGAGGGTTATGGTACAGTGAAGACAAAAAACCACAGGCAGATGTCACAGAGCTCCAAAACAAGTAACTATTCTTAGAATTCTTAGTTTTATAGGAGATACTTCATCTTTGCATTATGAACCACCAAGATGTGTGTGAGATACCTTAGTTTCAGAAGAGCCCTAGTCTTGTACAAAGAAGGTGTTTTATTTTTTTAAGTTCAGGGGTACATGTGCAGTTTTGTTACATAGGTAAAGTTGTGTCATGGGGTTCGTTGTACAGATTATTTCATCACTCAGGTATTAAGCCTAGTACCCATTAGTTATTTTTCCTGATCCTTTCCCTCCTCCCACCCTCCACCTTCCAAAAGTCCTCAGGGCGTGTTGTTTCCCTCTAACGTGTCCATGTGTTGTCATCATTTAGCTCCCACTTATAGAACATGCAGTATTTGGTTTTCTGTTCCTGCATGAGTCTGCTAATGATAATGGCCTGCAGCTCCATCCATGTACCTGCAAAGGACATAATCTTATTCTTTTTTATGCCTGCATGGTATTCCATGGTGTACATGTACCACATTTTCTTTATCTAGTCTACCATGGATGGACACCTAAGTTGATTCCATGTCTTTGCTGTCGTGCTGAATAGTGCTGCGATGAGCATACATGTGTATGCATCTTTATAATAGAATGATTTATATTCTTTTGGGTATATACCCAGTAATGGAATTGCAGGGTTGAATGGCATTTCCGTCTTTAAGTCTTTGAGGAATCGCCGTACTATCTTCCTCAGTGGCTGAACTAATTTACAGTTCCACTGGTGTTCCAAAAGGAGATGTGTATAAGTGTTCCTTTTTCTCCAAAACCTCACCAGCATCTTAAAAAATAATCATTCTGACAGGTGTGAGATGGTATCTCATTGTGGTTTTATTTGCATTTCTCTGATGATTGGTGATGTTGACCTTTTTTTCATATGATTGTCGGCCACATGTATGTCTTCTTTTGAAAAATATCTGTTCATATCCTTTGCCCACTTTTTTATGGATTTGTTTTGTTTTGTTTTTGAGATAGAGTCTTGCTCTGTCGCCCAGGCTGGCATGCAGTGACACCATCCCAGCTCACAGCAACCTCTGCCTCCCAGGTTCAAGCAATTCTCCTGCCTCAGCCTCCCAAGTAGCTGGAATTATAGGCACACACTACTACACCCAGATAATTTTTGTATTTTTAGTAGAGATGGGGTTTCACCATGTTGGCCGGGCTGGTCTCGAGCTCTTGACCTCAAGTGATCCACCCATCTCGGTCTCCTAAAGTGCTGGGATTACAGGTGTGAGCCACCACACCTGGTCTGGGGTAGTTTTTTCTTGTAAATTTAAGGTCCTTATAGATGCTGGATATTAGACCTTTGCTGGATGCATAGTTTGCACAAAGTTTCTACCATCCTGTAGTTTTTCTGTTGATAGTTTCTTTGGCTGTGTAGAAGCTCTTTAGTTTAATTAGATCCCATTTGTCAATTTTTGCTTTTATAGCAGTTGCTTTTGGTGTCTTCATCATAAAATCTTTACCCATTCCTATGTCCAAATGATATTGCCTAGGTTGTCTTCCAGGGTTTTTATAGTTTGGGGTTTAAGTCTTTAATTAATCTTGAGTTGACTTTTGTATATGGTGTAAGGAAAGGGTCCAGTTTAAGTTTTCTGCATATGGCTAGCCAGTTTTCTTAGCACTATTTATTGAATAGGGAGTCCTTTCTCCATTGCTTGTTTTTTTCAGGTTTGTCGAAGATCAGATAGTTGTGGGTATGCAGTCTTATTTCTTGGTTCTGTTTTGTTTGATTGATTGCTCCATAGGTCTGTTTTGGTACCGGTACCATGCTGTTTCAGCTACTGTAGAGCCCTATAGTATAGTTTGAAGTCAGGTAATATGATGCCTTTACCTTTGTTCTTTTTCTTAGGATTGCCCTGGCTATTTTGGCTCTTTTTTGTTTCCATATGAATTTTAAAACAGTTTTCTCTAGTTCTATGAAGAATGTCAATGGTAGTTTAATAGGAAATAGCATTGAATCTATAAATGGCTTTGGGCAGTATGGCCATTTAATGATATTTCGTCTTCCTATCCATGAGCATGGATGTTTTTCCATTTGTTTGTGTCATCTCGGATTTCTTTGAGCAGTGGTTTATAGTTCTTCTTGTAGAGATCTTTCACTTCCCCAGTTAGCTTTATTCTTTTTGTGGCAATTGTGAATGAGAGCTTGTTCCTGATTTGGCTCTCGGCTTATAGGAATGCTAGGGATTTATGCACATTGATTTTTGTATCCTGAGACCTTGCTGAAGTTGTTTATCAGCTTAAGAAGCTTTTGGGCTGAGACTGTGGGCTTTTCTAAGTAAAAGTTCACGTCATCTGAATACAGGGACAGTTCAATTTCCTGTCTTCCTATTTGGATATCCTTTATTTCTTTCTCTTGCCTGATTGCCCTGGCCAAAACTTTGAATACTATGTTGAATAGGAGTGGTCAGAGAGGGCATGCTTGTCTTGTGCCAGATTAATATTTCTCTAGTTTCATAGCCAAAATTAGGTTGCATGCCCAGGCTCAAAAGCAGAAACCAAGGGACCATGACAGGAACCAGATGCAAACCATCTCTATAAACAGTGCTGACAAGCTAGTACAAGTTGCCCCCTAGTCTTGACCCTAGCACAAGACAATATTCATCCCTAGTTAGAACATTTCATTCAGGTTTGGCCAACGGTTAGCAACATGACTGGTTCCAGGTGCTCCTAGGGATAAACACATAGTTGCAATAGACACTTTTGCATTCCACAGACTCTTACCCTTGGTTAAGCTTTTTTAATCACTTGATATCATTCTTTTTTTTCAACTTTTACATTATATAACAGAAAAATGAGAAAATAAACACCAAAATCCTAATCATTTGTGTAGCGACTGTAGATTATAACTTTTAAAAAAGTTGAAGTTTACCAGATAGTCCAGTGAAAACTTGTTCTTAATAATGTCCCAGCTTGACAGTTTTACCTCTTTCTACCACAGAACGTTGAATTTTATGAAATTGTATAACAATTATTAACTAAATCTAGTTCATTTCTCTGCTAATCTGGTCTTTTACCAGAAGACCTTGTAGGGGTTTTAATTCAGTTTCCTAATACATTTGCTCATTCATTTGGTCATAGAATTGTTCATATGAATCTCACCAATGATACCAGTATTGTACCAAATAGCATTACATTATGATTTGGTTTGCTTACTAATTTTTTTTTTCATCTTTCTTGACAAAATCAGCTCTTGTTCTTATACTAAAATGTTGTAATTGACTGAGGCACCATAAGTTTCCCATAAATTCACTCTTTTTGCTTACTCTGCCAAGTTACCAGGCCATTTTCCTTGCACTACTTTGGCTTTTAATTGAGGAGCATACTTAATCCTTCTTGAGTCTGTGTGCATGTGTCTTCCCATCTTTATGTAACTGTTGAGTTTTATCATTTTTCCAGGCTTCTTGCCACCATTTCCCTTCCTCCTGAAATAACATTTCTTGTAAACAACCAATACAGGTCATTAAGTCGTCTCTCTCAGTATGTCTCTTTTCATTAAAGGCAAATTGGGCTTACCATCGGACTCAGAACTGTGCCAGTGTTTCTGCCCAGATTGGTTTAACCACCAAATATGTTGTTGCCATTGAGTTTTTATTGCTTGAATATAGTTTGAATATATCTTTTTGATCCAAAATCCTTCAGGAACCTTTTGAAAGATGGTGGGGGAGGAAAGACAAGAGTTTTCAGTTCCCCAAGGCAGTGTCATATGAGTAGTAATTATTCCCAAAAATACTTAACTCTGTAATTATTGTCGGCAAAAAATCAGGGCTATCAGCGGCAAGTGTGTAAGACCACCACGTTATCCTTTACTTGGTTTCAGTACCAAAAATTTTTTTTAACTTCAGTTAATGCCTTCCACCCACAGAAACAAGATACATAGGCATTAGAGCATGACTAGTTGGAAATGCAGCAGTTATTTTATGTCCGTGTTTCTGGACACCTTTCTTAACAAATTATATCTGTGTTTAATAGTCACGTGGTAGTCTGTGACTTCGTTGTTGAACAAAATCATTTGTGTGCATTTGAGAGAAAACAGTGTCCTAACTTTCCCTCCCAAAAGTGGTGCTCTACAGTAGATAAAACCACTGGGAGCCAAAAGACAAGTATTACAGTTATTCTGTGTTTATCCTCAAGATGTTATTAGCTTCATCAAGATTCAGATAAAATTCTGCAGATTAAATTCTTAAATCTCCTGCAACCCAGTCTTAGACAGAATATTCTCTTGCTCTCAGCCTCTTACAAGATACCAAGATAATGTTAACTTTCCCTTTTTGCATTATTTACTTATTGGCTCCCTTTCTGAGAATAAAGAATTTTCCTCCTTTCTCCTGTCATTAGTTTTTACCCAGACCTTTACCCCTGAGTTAGGGCACCATCAAATTCGGCAAGAGGACTTACCAGTGGCGCTGACAGCAATGTGAGACTGGCCATGCTTTTCCCCTTCGTCCATTCCCAGTTACATGAAGTTGGGGTGGATAACTGCACGTTTACAAGACTATCTTGTCCACATGTGAGGAAAGATGCAAAAAAACATTAATTCCAGGCTTAGATAGGGGAAAATAGAAACAGTCCATTCCATCATTCCTCAGACAGTTATACTTAGAGGTATTATCTTCATGTTTTTTCATTTATATCTTTAATTTCTTTCAATATTTTGTAGTCTTCAGAGTATATTTTTATGTTCTTCTGAAAGGCATTTTCTTAAGTTCATTTTTTGATTCTTCATACCAAATACATAAAAATTCAACTGATTTTTATGTTGATCTTATGTTTTACATCATTGCTAAGTTTATTAGTTCTTATTGTTTTTAATGAATTTTTAGAAGTTTTACGTACAAGATCGTATTATCTAAAGAGAGATAGTTTTACTTCTTTTCTATCTGGAATGTTTTTTTTTTTTTTTTTGTAACTGCCTTGGCTACAACCTTCAATGCCTTGTTCAATAGAAGAGGCAAGAGCAGACATCCTTGTCTTCTTTCTGATCATAGGGGCAAAGCATCTAGTCTTTGACCATTATATTATATATTTCATTATGTTATTCATAGATGCCCTTTAGATCCATTAAATGTTTAGTAGCTACTAAGCCCCCTAGTTTAATTGTCCAGAGAGGATTTTTGAATCCCTTTTAGTCTTAGTTTTATTTTGTCCTTAATAATCCTAATCTTTTCCCTACCATTCAGCCATATTAAGAAGGAAATGAGCTAGTAGGTCTGTGACAGCCTTCCTCACATCATTAGAAACCTCTGTCAGTATAGTCTATATGAAACTAAACATAAGAATGACTATGCCTACATGAGACTTGCAATACAGAATTAGTTAACATGGTCCTTGGTTTATACCAGCCCATAACATAAGGGGCAAGTGCCAGAAAATACTGCTATACATCTATTTTGTATAACTCTGGATAATTGGTAAAAAAATAATTTGACCGATTTTATTAAAACATTTGATAATACTAATCTTGATGAATTGGGATCTTGATTTAAAACCACCACAAGGTATTATCTTGATGGAAGGTGATTGGTTGGAGAAAGAACTACATTGAGTTACGTAATTTTACATTGAATCAATATATTGGTACATTTCATAAAGTTTAAATTTTTTTTTCTTTTTGAGACCGAGTCTCGCTCTGTTGCCCAGGCTGGAGTGCAGTAGCGCGATCTTGTCTCACTGCAACTCTGCCTCCCGGGTTCAAGCGATTCTCTTGCCTCAGCCTCCTGAGTAGCCGGGATTACAGGCTTGTGCCACCATGCCTGGGAGCTAATTTTTGTATTTTTAGTAGAGATGGGGTTTCGCCATGCTAGCCAGGCTGGGCTTGAACTCCTGACATCATGATCTTCCCACCTTGGCCTCCCAAAGTGCTGGGATTACAGGTGTGAGCCACTGCACCCAGGCCATAAAGTTCAATTTCTAACTGAGAAAGGATTCATCAAGCTTGTACATGATTAAGAACAAGTTTGCACTGGAATGTTTGATAAACTACGTTTCTTGAACATTACACCTACACTGCATTGGATGGCTAAAAATGATTAGAAAAGAATGATGATGAGTAATTTGGTTAAGAAAGCTTGGCCCAAGGTAGGGACTGTACAAGTCAGAATTAATCTCAGCTGGGCTACTGTACCCCGTGCTTATCTCTAAGAATGCCGGGATCCATGGTGCTGATATTTAGCCAAACCTGAATGAAGTTAACTAGTGATGAATTCCAGTCCTGGGCTATAGAGACTAAGATAAACCAGAGGGCAGCTTGTGCTGGCTTGCCAGCATTGTTTAATAGAAAATGTAAAGATTGATTTTACATTTTGCACCTAGTTTTTGTCATGTTCCCTTGGTTTCTGCAGTTGAGCCTGATTTTTCCTACCTGACCAGAGAGACATAAAAGACCTCTCCTTGAACAAGAATCGGGTTCCCCTGGGAGCTGTGTCTAGAAGTTCTGGACCCCTCTAATGTTTCCCTGTGCTTGCTTCCTTCTTGTATACTGTAACCTCTACCTTTATTAATGCCTGTTAGCCACAAGAATCCAATTATATGACCCGTATACCATCTTATTTTGAAAAAAAAATCTGAGTTGTGGCTTTTTATTTATTCTCAGAGATGGCCATTAGGACATGTATTCAGCCAACAATGTTTGATCAGCTTATACATCACAGAGTTGTGTTACAAATTTACCTTCAAGTTCACAATACATACAAGAAATTAGCAAATCATTAGTAGAGATTTGACTGTTGTGATTGGCTTCCAATATTGTAACTGTGACTTTTATTCCTGATTTTGTCAATGTGGAATGAGATGTATTAACTTACAAACACTGTGTTGCTCAAGTGAGACTAAAAGCACAATCCATGCTACCTGCACCATAGCCCACTTTCAGCATAAAGAAACTCAAATGTATTCTTCAAGCAGTACACATCCTACATTGGAAGAATGTTCTAAGATTGTATGGGTAACTGTTGCTCCTGTGAAATATGACAGTCATCAGATTCCTTCTGAGTGTAATAGGAAATGGCACCAATAGTGTGCCATAGTACCTACTTTGGGGGATAAAAAAACCATGCTCATTTCACCACTTTGTTCCTCTTTATTTCATGCGATTTTAGGTAGATGTGTACACTAAAATCCAACACTGTCCCCAAGAAAGACTGTCAAGAATTACCAAAAAAAAGTAGCATATTAATCTCTTTTCTTGGGAATATTGAATATATTTCTTGTTACTTACTTGCATCTAAGTTCTGACTGATTTTTGCAGGGAAAACAAGGCAAACACATTTTATATGGCTGCAGTGAGCTTTTTAATGCTACACAGTTCATTAAACAGGTAAAGTATACCTTTGTTGTTTGTTTCTGTTAATATACCCATGTTGCTATTGGTATTATTCAAAAGAGAAAAAGAAAACCACTTACTCACCTGAACCAGCTGAAACCAAAAGCCATACAGCTATACCAAGATAGGCATTGCCATGGACAACTAAGAAGAAAATCTTGATAAAATTGTTTCCAGTAGGAGTGTACACATCCTTCCAGAGCTGAAAGCCTTTGCTGTGGCTTTTAATGATCCTTTAGAAATACAGAAATATATGAGAACTGTCAGTAGTCTGTCACTCATGACATTTCTCTTTATATTTTCACAAAGTTAATACTAATTTTTTTTCATTCCCATGGTTTTGTTTTCCATCAGTTAACATTACCTAATAATGTTTACATTTCTTTGCTATGATGATGTTTATTGCAATTCTATTTTCTTTTCTTTTTCTTGGTAGAAACAGTCTCTCGCTATGTTGCCCAGGTTGGTCTTGAACTCCTGGCCTCAAGTGATCCTCCCGCCTCAGCCTCCCAAGTAGCTAGGATTACAGGCATGAGCCACTGTGCCCAGCCTTCAGTTTTTAAATATCTGCAGATGTTTTACATTTGAGTTAGTGATAAACATTAGGATGTGGAAGTTCTTAAAGGGTTTACAAGTATGTTTGAATGCTGCTTTTGTGATCTTTTTTAAAAGTTTTATGTATGATTTTGTGTTTTATTTTGTTTCAGTTGTCACAACTTGGACAAAAGTAACACAGAAGAACCTTACTATGATAATCTACTTGGAATGTGGATAAATGTAAAAAGAAAATAAATGTTTCCCTCTCTATAACAATGTCCTAACAGTGAAATTGAGAGTTGTTTGCTAATTTTTAAGGAAATTCTATACTTAATAGGTATTGATTAAAAAAATAAAACATTTCAGAAATAAAATTTCAACATTGTTCATTTTCTCTCCTGTTTGATAAATGAGAAAGTACTTTGGAAGTAAGGAAAGCTCCATCTGAGTATAATATTAAAATACTAATAATAACTAATAGGTTATGATTGAAGTTGGTGACATTTTAAGATTATCATATACAGATTTTATTTGATTGGTTCATGAGTCCCCTACTTGTATGCATTTTAATTGTACAACTACTTTCTCATAGTTTTTTGGGTATCCATGTTGCCTCTAGATTTTAGATGGAGATTTTAAGACACTTTAATGTCTCTTCTCCTTCTGGCACACATATGTACATTTTATCACATAAAGTCCCTCCTTCATGTAATGGTGATCAAGGCAACACTAACAAACATGATTTGGAATGGACAAATACAAAACGTTCATCGCATGAAGTTCTAAATAATATTGATTACAAGCTTCTTTGATATGCATTAATGACAAGTATTGATCAGTCATACTGCTCAGCATGTCCATAAGATAAAAAGCAAGTCAACTGCTTGAAAGGGAAGGAAAAAAAAAAAAAACGCTTCCTATTATAAAGCCAGGGAGCTTTCCCTCCTAATGAGTCTCATATCAACAGGAATCTGTAATGTTACAGACAATATACTGACAATACATACAAGATTTACAGATCAAGAAAAATAATCCTAGATGTATGATAAGGGTTTATTAATGTGACTTATTCCTGAGACAAAATTTGAAGTATGTGGAGGAATAAAAGTACTGGGTATACATCAAGCAGTTCTTATAAGTAACATAAATAACATTTATTCTGTGCAGCCAGCTAAAGTCATACCCCTAAAAAAGGAGCCTAGAAAGAACACAATCCCAAAACAGTAAGCCTCTCTACCTCACTGGAGTATGAGCTGAATGAAAGAATCTCTAGTCAGGGTCCAGATTATTTAACTTCAGACACAAACAAATAATCATGATACTAAAGTTTGATAGCACCAATAATTACAGCCTGGAAAAAATGTTATAGCAAATATAATCAAATACTAAATATATTTGATTATATTATAATAAATATACCAAATATAATCAAATACTTGGCTGTTTAAAAAAAAAAATAGGCACTATGGAAATGTGTTCAGAACAAACACAAAATGGCAGAGAATAGCTTACACTGAATACGATATCATCATTTCCTCTCCTAGTGCCAGCGATGTGCATCACACATTTACTTTAATTCAGTGTTCATCATGCCTGCAAAACTTCTGCACTGCTCCTGACAGTGTACTAATAGTATTTGAAATGTAATTTCAGACTTTTCCTGCACATTAATTTGTTTAAATGTTACACTGAGTCTTTGAGACATAACTGTAAATTTTCCATACATGAGCATGTCAAAAATACCTCTTTTCAAGAAATAAATTATGACATAGGGCTAGAGAGGAAAAAGAAAAAAAAAAAGATTAAATATAGGTATAAAAAGTCAAGATCCTTTTTATGAAGAAAACATTGGGTCGGGTGGGATGGCTCACACCTATAATCCCAGCACTTTGGGAGGCCAAGGCAGGCGGATTGTCTTTTAGGTCAGGAGTTCAAGACCAGCCTGGCCAACATCGTGAAACCCTGTCTCTACTAAAAATACAAAAATTAGCTGGGCGTGGTGGCTGCTCCTGCAGTCCCAGCTACTCAGGATACTGGGACAGGAGAATGGCTTGAACCCTGGGAAAGTGGAAGGTGGAGGTTGCAGTGAGCCAAGATCACGCCACTGCACTCCAGCCTGGGCCACAAGAGCGAAACTCTGTCTCAAAAAAAAGAAAACATTAACTGGAAAAAGATTCTGTGAGTGTACACATATAAAAGATGTTAGAAAATACCCAAGGACAGAAAAATATGAAAGCATATTTTTAAAAAACCTAGAAGTTAAAAATAAAATACCTAAAATTTAAACTCAGCAGATAGGTTTAGCAACAGATGAAATGTGACTAAGAAGAAAATCTGAACCAGAAGATGGAGCAAAAGAAACTACCAAGAATGTAACACAAAGAGATAATAGGAGCAAAGGGAGACAAAAATAGATGAAGAATGGGAAGATCAACCAGACTGGGCAATAAAGGGAGCCCCTCACCCCGCCCCTTACAATGGTGGTACGTGCCTGTGGTCCCACCACTCCAGCCTGGGAAACAGCAAGACCTTGTCTAAAGAATGGGAAGGTCTAAGAGTCATCTGGAGTTCTCAAAGGAGCAAAGAGGTAAAGGTGGCAGTGATAATAATTGAGGAGATGATACCTAATAATTTTTCAAAATAGACACCTCTTCACACATTAACTCCTAGCAGGATAAAAAATTCACCCTTGATATCATGAAACTGCAGAATACCAAAAACAACTCTTATAGAAACAGTACAAGAAAAATAAGATTCACTTCTAAAGAGGGAAGAGGAAGGTGGGGAGGAGGAGAGAGCTGACTTCTCAGGTGCAACTGTGAGACAAGATTGTGGAATGGCATATTTGAAACTGATGAAAGTCAACTGCCAGCTTATATTAATAAGCTTATGTTAATGTCTAGCAAAATACTCTTAAGAAAGAGGACAAAGTACACACAGAGGAAAGAAAAAAGAGTTTGCCACCAGCAGAATCTCACCAAAGTCATTTCTAAAGTGGGAGAAAAGTTATTCCAGGTGTGAAAAGGAATGAAAATAAAACTTACGTAAAACTAAAAGAACATTGTTTTGAAATAATAACTTACAGCTTTAAAACAAAGAATTCGAATACATTGCAACACAAACTGGAAGAATTATTAATGATCCGAAAGTGTGGGGTCTCCCAAATCCCAATTTTTCTTTGCCCTGACACAGGACACACAAAACGCCTTGACCACTGGTGTAACCTAGCTAGCTTTATGTTTTCCCCTACAAGCTTGGACATTCCCAGGCACTGATAAGTTTGTTTATATTGTTGCCCAAAACACTGCAAGATAAAATGTAGAAACTAGCCTTCACTGTCAGCTACAGTTAACCCTTCATAACCCCACATAAACTCCTTAAACCCCACATAAACTCCATATTCCAATCCCCTTGTTGCAGACATAGAAGAATATCTTTTTTTCTTACTCCATCACAAGCACCACTGTAGCATCCTGTAAGTTTCCTAATAAATGCTTTGGACTGATTTTGGAATCCCAACCAGCCCCATCTCAGAACAGTTGGGGGTAGCACTTGCAAGAATTTATCTGCCACTACCTTGGGGTGATAACCAGTGACAGCTTTGGCCAGACAGTGTCATAAGGTCCTTGATTGGATAAAATGTGGCAGTAAAAACACTTGAGAGGATACCTAATAATTTTTCAAAACAGATAAACCCATTTTGCCATCTGTTAAGTACTCATTAACTTTATGTGTTTGTACGTATGTACATATATATGTATGTATGAGACGGGCTTGCTCTGTCATCCAGGCTAGAGTGCAGTAGCATGATCACAGTTCATTACAGGCTTAACCTCTCAGGCTCAGGTGATCCTTCCACATTAGCCTCCTGAGTAGTAGATACACAGGCGTGCAACACCATGTCATGCTAATTTTTGTTTTTACAGAGATGAGGTTTCTCCATGTTGCCCACTCTGGAAACATTAAAATTTCACATATAAGGTAAGCATTTGTAATTTTCAAGTTAACAACTGAAAGAAAATAGTATGAATTGTGTAAACTGGTGTGTATAAAATGGAAGATGGAGAGAGGAATAATAAAAATGCCCCAAAAATATGAGGAGAGAGATGAACACAGAATGAGAAGGACAAAAAGAAATGTAAGGAACTATGATATAAACCCAAATACACCAGCAGTTATAAGTACACTAAATAACTTAATTAAAAGATAATCAGACTGAATTTTCCTTAATCCAATATGTTCTGTTTACAGGAGACATTTAAAATATTTAAGAATACAGGTTATATATAAAAGAATAAAAGCTATATATAACCAAAAGAAAGCTAGTATGGTTTTCTTGTATCAGTGTTATATCAAAGTACAGTTTTTAAGTAAAATGTAATTTTGAAGATAAAGATCATTTTATAGGCATCCAGGCTTCAATTTACCAGGAAGATATGACAATTTTATTTCATTTTTTATTTTTGTTATTTATTTTGAAACAGATTCTCACTGTTGCCTAGGCTGGAGGGCAGTAGCAGGATCTCAGCTCACTGCAACCTCTGCCTCCTGGTTCAAGCAATTCTCATGTCTCAGCCTCCTGAGTAGCTGGGATTACAGGTGCGCACCACCACATCCAGCTAATTTTTATATTTATAGTACAGATGGGGTTTCACCATGGTCTCTAGGCAGGAGTTCTAGGCTGATCCCGAACTCCTGACCTCAAGCAATCCACCCATCTCAGCCTCCCAAAGTGCTGTGATTACAGGTGTGAGCCACCACGCCTGGCCAACAACTTAAAATCTATACCGAATAAGACCACAAAACAGACAGGAAAAAATTTAAAAATCCAGTTTGACAGTTCCTCAACAAGCCATACACAAAATTACCTATGTTGCCTACTACACAGTCACCACTCAACACAGTACTTCACTTCTCACACGAGATGTGTGGGGATTTTTCCCAACACACCAAACATTGCGCCAGCAGACACCAGTGTCAATTCTGACATTATCTACCTGGAATTGGGGTCAGATTCCATAGGTTAAAAACTGAGTCCCAAAAGACTGTCCCCCAACACACGTGTGTGCATGCACACACACTTCAAATGCCAATTACAAGTCCCAGATTGTGACCTTATTTCTTACCAAAAGCTATAAATTGAGCCTTCCAAAGACTCCCTCCTTGGGTTCAATTGTTTGCTAGAATGGTTCACAGAACTCAGGAAACACTTTACTTACTTATTTATTATAAAAGATATTAAAGATAGATAGATGATTGATTGATTGATTATTAAAGATAGATGATTGATTGATTGATAGATAGATAGATAGATAGACCACCAGATGGAAAAGATTCATAGAGGAAGGTATATAGGAAAGGGTGTGGAGCTTCCATGCCCTGTGTGG